ATGGATTTTAAAAAAACAGATAATGTATTTAACTGGTGGAATATTTTTGAACACGGTAAAGAAATTTTGGACTCCATAAAAGTCGGGAATATTTTAACCAAATGTGAAGCTATCAAGTTTTCAAGATGAAGTCAGTTTTCTGCTATCAAATTGCAGCTATATAACAGAAGCTTAAAAATTGGAAGATTTTACTGAAGGAGAGACAGACGTTGACGGGTGGATGACAAATACACACAGACGTATACGATTTTACCATGCCGTAGGCTGGAAACGCCTAAATTTATCCAGGGAGAAACCAGACAGTCCTTTTGAAATATGCTTGATTTGAATCTATCCATAAATTCCCATTCGGTCCCACCAAGTCGGCTACGGATTCTTATCTAGTCACACAACCGTCTCATATTCCTCCTTATCAAAATTGTATTTTAAAAAGAGTCAACAGTGGGTCAGATTTTTTCTATGGCAGTTTTATGAAAAAAAGTGGCAAGTTTCTGCTTGCAAGTCCGATTACCAAGCAAAGAGAGTCACTTCTATGAAAGGCAAGATATGTTTACCGACTTGTCCGACTGTGCGTTTCTGTCTCGTTAACGACAGTTCAGGGCGCACGTCAACACCCCTCAACTTTGGACTCGTGCGCGGAGTAGCTCAGTGTTTGGCCGGTTGCGGACCGGTGAGGAGGTATCGTGAGGTGTAGCATTCTGTCGCCAGGGTGTGCGTCACTCACGTCAGAAAGAGCGGTGTGGTTATATAAAAAACTTCTAATAACTAACCCCCGTAACTGAGAGTCGAATTATATTTTCTGATGAAAAGTGGCGAACTAATAAGGAAATACGTACTATCAACGCAAAGAAATGTTAATTCACGTGCATAGTTTGTCTGTATTTATGAATTAAATATAAATTAAATTTCCATTTAATTTAATATATAATCTTCTTATGCTCCATAAACATTAAATTGCGTGACTACACACTCTTAAGGTTTTAGTGTTTAATGTAATTAACACTAGTGCCACGTTTAGTAATTTATATTACGACAGCGAATATAATTTTTAAATAAATATTTATATATTATATTTTATTATCTCCTTCGAACGTATCCTTGAAACATTTTTACGTGATTATTGATCATTGTTTGTATATTCGAAATTTCTTTTAAAATGATACCATTAAGGTTGATAGAATTTTCGACTTTGATTGACAACTTACGATTCTGATTATTAACCCGTTATTGTGTCAGAAACGTTAAATATCAGAATGTTGGACGTATAACGTAAATAACTTATTTGAAGTTTGAAGATCCTAAGGAATATCTGCTCGATGTCACCGTACAATGAAGACGACGGAAGAACCCGTCACGCCTCTGTTCCAGACGACATGTGTTGGTAAGTCAATGTTCAGTGACAAGTGCCACACCTACACGTAGAAACCTACCCACATACATGTACCTGACCCAGTTGCTCTCATAGAACGCAGGGATGCCACTTATGATTGTTCTACGGTAGACCCGTTCAGACATCTTTGAATATGAGATGTGAGTCTCTACGAGGGCAGCAGCTCGTAAATCGTTATTCATTTAATCTTTTTAGATGCAATATTTACCTGAAGTAGGAAGTCATAATTAGGAATAGTTTGTTCGAAAAATGTTTTGGAAAGAAGATAGAAATGTATTTATTACACAGGAAGTTGGTAAGTTCATTGATGAAATGTTATAATTTGACATGCGACCTCCATCTTACAAAGGTATTCTGGAAATCTCTTCAAGAAAGAAAATATTTTCTTGTTATATGGATTATAACTCTACTACCATAGCAGATTCTACTTAGTGTTTTAAGTAACTGCATAAAAGCACTCCATTACATTGATGCATAAGCTTATTCTTCGACATTTTTCTTCTTGTATTAGTTAAGTTTCTTAGTTTAGTACATTATTTAATGTTATTTGACAAAATAAAGACGGTATTTATCATCGAATGATTGTTTATTTAACGACACGATTTTAACTTTGACACGTTAGGGTAGAATGGTAGAATGTCAAGCCGTGTACTCTGGTAGAAATTGACGGACACCCTGATGACGGAAGCAGTAATAACCTCGAAATATCCGCCAGTTTCTAGCAGATTGCACGGCCAAAAATTCCTGAATACCTACATTTTTATACCCGCCGCCGTTAGAACCTAAAATCTCACAAGGCTCATAATTATATTTTATCTCAGGACTTGACTGAAAGTCTGAAAGTGTTTGCGGATTTATTGATTGACTATAAAGAATAGCGTAACTGACGTTTGATATATGTTATTGTTGAAACACTTATTTTACTTTTACGAGGCCCACATATCTTTCAAGACATTTGATGTGCTTACTGGAGAGTCGATTAATTTTGTACGAAACGGCATCTATATATTGCCTTAAATACCATTATATCCGCAATTCATAATGATCTAACCGTATATTACTGTGATACCTATGTATTAGTTGACACAGCGTCATTAAATACAATAATAAGATGTAAAATAAGTTGTAACTTATCTTTTATTCGATATACCAGTAAAACAGAGCATTCAGAAAGTTCTTGAGATATTTTATTGGCCGTTTGCTGTTTTATGTAGGAGGGGTGCAATGTCTGAATAGTAGCTAATATCCTGATTGCAGATATTAAAAAGAATTTTTGTTTGTTCTAACCATATTTGTTCTTCAGTGAACTTTACTACATTTCCACGTGCCAAAACAGGACTTTCGCCTTACCTTAGGTCGCCTTCATTTCTAGAATTCGCTAACTCAACGAGCGCCATCTTCATTTCTAGTTATCACACAAGAAAATTTGGCGTGCTATAGCCTATCCGTAATTTTAATGCTATGTGTCAGTTTTACCAGAGAGAGCTGAGCTCATTCTAAAGGAATAAAAAATTAGACGTCCATTTCTTTAATTACCTTAACTTTAATAATGTCGTAACTTAGTTTGCATTAATTATAATTTAAAACCCTTCAAAATCCTTTAAGTCTTGTTGTTTTATTTCTAACGTAATTATTAGGTCAATGTTAACTTTCTGGTGTAGTATTCCCTAACGTCTAAATGAAAATACACGCTCATTTGTGTTACATCAATAACTCGTATCTCATTTTACACGGATGCTGGAGGGATTTGTACTCTAGTGGTTTCAAATTTGAATCTAGTTTGGAATACCGGGTTTCCTTAGTGAGGATTTTCGTGACTCTCATTTGAATGTAAACAGAGTAATTGGGTAATGAAAGCCTACTTTTATATCATCATGTAATCAGCAACTTTTATAGAATAATAATGTGAAAACCTGAGGGATCTATCGCGCAGTAAAAATGAAATTTGTTGCAAATTAAATCTGTCTACTAATTTTTAATAATTTAGGGCTAAGTTTTGCGGGAAGACTTGTCTCGATACAGCCTACAACATTGGCAGATTTAATGACCTCTGCAGCTAAAACGGCTTCATTAAATAGCACAATTAACTATCATCGGGGATGACAGACAGAATATTCTGAACGCAGAATTTTAAATTAGCAGATTTATATCATGAGTCTATAAACTCAAAATTCTCCACAGCCGTTCCTACTGTAGGTGAATCCAGGACGAAACAGACTCTGGAAGTTTCAGTGAACTGGCTCTCATTCTGGATACCCTTGAATTTTATCTGGAACAGATCATTTAGTGTAAGCAAACTCACTGATAGCAGCTTACAGCTCTAGTTCCACAATTCGTGTCGACTCATTGTTAATTGACCATATAATATCAATAGCCATAATTCCTACCATGATTAACTTAGTGGTAAACTTTAATGACTTACTCTGAAGTCACGGCGTTTCAGCACCTAAGTTTAATCAGTCTCCGTCTTTCCTGGTAAACGATAATTTAAAATTAAATAAAAGCACACACACTGTACTTCATATTTGCATAATGTGTGATTGTACATAAGTTTCTACAATCTTTACAAGTTAGGCCTACTTATATTTCCGACGAAAAAATCTTACTAAAACGCAGCAAATGAACGATACGAATTTTCCTTGAGGAATATTGAAAAGTCATGCTTTATGCGCAGAACCGAACATGGTAACAATCTTTCCTGACTGAAATTCGTGGCCTAGCAGTTGGCACTACTGTTTTGCATTCGATAGGTACCGAGATTGCATCTCGGCCCAGAGACCGACTGCCAAACTGTGTTCTCAATTCCTCCAGACATCCATTGATATCTCAAATTAGGCTGCTACCGAATTCTTTGATTCTTTAAATCTCAGTAGTAACTCTACGTACCACCTGTTTTAGAAATCAGTATGTCTGCATTTTGTATTTATGGGTTTCGTATGATTCTCAGAGTAAGCAACTATTATTTCGTTAAACGGCATTAAACAACTGATCTCGTGTTTTCTTTGTGTTGCTGAAGTGCTATGAGATGTGTGAAAGAAAAAGTATAAAAATTATGCTCATTTAGAACAAACTGCGCATCGCGAATTAATGAAATTTTTATTTATAATTTACTACAAAACTAAGAAATATCACTTCTTATGAGTAATCAGTTAAGAAACACGAAGGAAATTTTTTTGAAGCAAATAGGAATTTTTTATTTTAAAAATTTGTTATAAGCGACTGACGAAATAAAAGGAATGAAGTAAGGTTCAAAAGATCTGGGAAATTATCCTGACTGTACATGCATGTCCATTATGACAGTTGGAACGACTGTCAACTCATGTTGTAGATGCTGTGACGACAAAATTGTCTATCAAAATTCATCTAAACAGTACGGCTGATGGTTACTTTCAATTATCATTTTTCGTCATCATTCGGACATTCAAATCCTCCCACTCCAACCACATCTGGCGATTAGTCTAATTTCCTAATTGCAAAAGTCACTATCAATCTCCGTATTCATAACAGAATATGTAAGTCGGAAGTTGGCAGTATTGGGGTGGGCGACACAGGGCGCCTCAAGCGTCTGAGACATGTACCACAGGCTCAAAAGTTTAAAGCATCAGAAAAATGGAGCGAAGTGGTGTGGAGTAGTTTAGTGTTATTAGCATATGTGGATATCAGTATTAGAGTGTTCTAAATGATCGTGATTAACAAGCAATATTATTCTGTTACTGAAATACTGCAACGATTGTTTATAAAACCACCGTGCGGCGGTTTAATGAGACGAGAAATGTTGTAAACTTACTTTATCCGTAACACGTGTTTCTGAACTCCAGTCCTGTGCTTCCGGTTTGAACGAACGTTCTAGAAATAATCAAGGCTGAAGCAGAATAACATCACATCGCTGACATGTAAGTTAAATACAACTGTGTAGTAATACAATATATCTGGTAGCCTTTAAGGAATAATGTTACGAAAACTTGAGGAATCTGTTATGAAGTAAAGATGATTTTTTTTTGCATATTAAGCCTCGCTACTAAATTACTTTAAGACCAAGGTTTGCGGGAACACTTGTCTCGATAAGTCTGCAAAACTGACAAAATTAATGAAAATATGAGGGCATTGATAATGATCCAATAATAATTTCACAACAGATCAACACCAGCAGAAGTCCATGTAATTAGAAGCATAATAATCGTCTGTAAATCTTGTAGGTTTATTGAGACTAAAGAAGTAAATTTGTTGACTCAGCGCTGTAATGTATAATCTGTAGATTAGTATGAAGATAATTTTATCACTTAAAATACTTCTAAACAGGAAGACTGCAGTTTATGGCGTGCATGAAATGAAAATTGTTGTTACTTTTATTATTATTGCTGTTGGTGGTATTAGTAGTAATATGGCAGTAGTAGGAAGTATCATAATAATTCCATAACAAATCACAAATAAGTTTCAGAAGCTGTAGTTTATTGTAAGGAACATAACAATGTTCTTTGGAAAATTAAACGTAGTCTTCTGTATTCTGGGACAAATTGTTGTCCATACTGACATTTGTTCGTGGTTTTCCTCGATCGCTTTAGGCGAATGCTTGGGTAGTCCCGCAGATAATCAAGTATCGCTTGATAAGCCATATTATCTGCTCATCAATAGTCGTGGTATTCACATCCTACCTGATGCTGTATAGCCCCTACAGTTGAAGCATCATAATCGTTTAACACAAATATCAATCAAAATAATATTTAGTTTATCCGAAGCGGAATCTAGCGGGTTAGCACTGCGATAAGGCGTTTAATCTAGCATTGCAGATCACACTAACTTCTGCGTGTCTGTTAAGAAATAAAAATATAGTGTTGTTTGAATATGCACGTAGGTGGTTAATCAAAAGCTAAGGAAATAGCTCATGAAGTACATGTATTACATAAGGAACAAGACATTTAACGTTATGTTCGTTTAAGACTTGCTCAGCCAATCATTTATAATGTAAATTGTACAATAGGGGGACAATGATGTATTTTCGTCTGCCCCCCCCCTCCCCTTCCCTGACCCCGTGAGAAATACATATGATGCTTGTGTTTCCGTATGGACTATGTTAGCTCACGGGCGTTGCGTTGTTAGACTCAAGTTGATTCGTCAGTGCGTGCGTTGACCATTCGTTTTGCGTTGTCATGCAGCTGTCTAGTTAACCGGGGATCTGGATGGAGCAGGAAGGTGAACCTTTGTGTTACTGTTGACTCATGCTGCGGTTTGTTGTAAGCCGAGATTATGCAGCGAGGTCGTGTTCTGTGAGGTCGCGAGGAAGAAATTTAAATTGTTTTTAAAAAGAAAACGTCTTTTGATCCATTTCTAGTAATACTATGACGATCGTAATTTAAAGCTGCGTCCGTATCTGTGTGTTTAGCCTTAAGATAAGAGAGTAATGTAGCAAGGGGTTCAGCTCGTATTTCGAATTTCAGGTGTGGATGAGACGGCGAGCATTCGAGCGAACGGGTTGCACGTTTGTGATTAAGCTGTTCTTTGCTACTCTTGTATATCCACACCTCGTGTAACGTAATATCGTTTGATGTTTTATGTAAACAGACAGACAGCATTGTGGATCGAGCGGGCTGTGGACAGAACAGGAGAAACGTCCACACATGTGCGTTCACTGTTACCTGTAATGTATTTGAGACGATATTGTTCAGCTTTAAACATGTAACATGAATAGCTCGAAATACATATATGTATTTTAACAGATTAAGAACATACTTACAGCCAATGAACAGCAGTAAAGTAACCTTGGTCAGAATATGAGTAGGCCAGTATGTATTTAATTCATATTTAACTGTAAGTGAAGATAATATATTCAGGGCGTTTTAGAACCAAACGTGGAGGATAAAAAATACAAGAAAGAGGAGGTAAGAAGATAGATAAGATAAAGTAAAGAAGAATTTCATGTGTTCTAATTCG